GAAAAGTCCATGACTAGACGTTCAGGTAAGATGCGATGTGGTGTGTGCTAAACCTTTAGAAAATAATTTAAGCATTATGGCCTTTAAAATAATAGATGTGTCTAATGCTTATTGCATGTAATATTTAAAATGATGTAATGTGAGTGTCGGGGCACATGGCCGCAGTCTGAGAGTGGTTTAGCTTTTCTTCCCCCTGTTTCCAAGTGCTTGCTCATAGTGGATCATTGAATTTATTTATATTTTGGTTAATACTCTGCAGTCTTTACCTTACAATGCAAAACGATAAAAGCTGTTTGACTTCATGCTCCTCTGCATTTGTCTGTTTCTTCTTTTGATATTAGATCACTGACATACAGACAGTAGTGCTTTTCTCTGACTTCACCGAGCAAACACTACAGCCTGATAGTTACACCGACCACATTGGTCTTTCCTTGGCTGCCCACCGCATTAGCTCTTCACCTTCGACTGTTTAACTCTGTCAGTTTTCATTCCCTTTCATTCACGTCTTTTTGCCCCAAACCATATTCATGCCCAAACACGGCCTGATCCCATCAAAAATGAAGCTTCAGCATACATCAGTGAAAACCCTCTGATATTTCAGCAATGCCACAGCAGTAGAAGTGCATAAGAAGATTACGCCAATTTTGCTTCCATGGTTTCTGGAACGAGATCGAGAAGACACTGGGTAGTAAGATGAGAGAAGCCAGACGTGTAGAAAAACTCTGCAAGTTTCTTTTCTTGGTTTGGGCTGAAGCCACAAGAACTGGGCTTCACAGCCAAGTCTCTGAGCCGAACCGAGGTAACCTCAGTGGGTTAAACAGAACCCAGAACTGCAGATTGCAGACCTCTGTCTCTCTATGTACAGGGGCCGGGATACCAGCTGAACCTCAAGTTTGTTAATAGAATTTGTGCAATGAAGAGAGGCACAGATTAAAATACACATATTTAAATAGATTGTAGTAATAGATCACACAACTAAATTTAATGCACAGCAGACAGCATTCAGTGCCTTGGATTGGGCTTTCTGAAAGCACCATCTTTAGGTTGTCACCATATGCTTTGAAGGCTACACAGAAAAAAATGCATCAGATAGCAACTTTTAATGTTTTGTGTTGGGAATTGACATTTTGAATGAAGCATATAGCAGCGTAGTATTTCTTTTTCATGCTCAAATCATGCAAAAGAAGTCTCCGGGGTCTCCTACTGGATATTGAACTGATAGATTGAGTGATTAGAATTGATCGTTCTCTTTCTTTAAGAAATGCGGTTGTTTAATTTTGTGAAACTGGTTGTTTATTTTCTTGTTGGGCATTAGAAGAGAAGAAATCACTCTTGTGTTTTTATGCTAGATTTTGTCTTAAGAGCTTGGACCCGTGCTCACTATAAAACTATAGAAGTAGCTGTTGTTTTTGGGGTAGGATTACATGTTGGACTATCACTTGCACGGGTGGAGGACGTCTCATTTACTATTTTCGTGTGTGCTGATTGAAAAATTAGACATTGTAGCAGTGATGAGGGGGGCAGGCAGTGCAGCAGGGCAAGGTTGCCACGGCAACTTCATCTGATCATGTAATTATTTGGAAAAATGCATAGCTTCCCAAGTCTTCAAATGACACACAGGTTTCTGTGTCCATACATTGGGGTTGGAGTTAGACTGCATAGGAAAGATGGAAGTAGTCACCATGTAGTAGCAGCCGCGTGTGAATGTCCGTCTTCAACAGAGGGAATTAGCAAGTTCTGCTTTGCTAGATGATGTCATCTGGTTGTTAAGTGATGACATCTCAAGTCTGCTTTTGGGCCCAAGCCCCTACTGCGTTCATTAATTTTGTTGTGTTTTGATCATGCGTAATGCTTCATATCTTGTTTTATTTAATATAAATAAGCCTCTGAAAAAAATAGTGGTCACTTTAGGTTTCTCTACTACTATTCATGTGCACCGCAGCCTTAGGTTAAGATTTCAATGGGTATATAATGCTTCAGATCAGTAATCCAAACCACGAAGAAGCATATTTGTGACTAACCTTGTGCTAAGGATGGATCATTTCAGGTGTTCTCTTGACTGACGTTTGGTCTGTTTTCAGCATCTTTTTCCTCCCCTGTGGTTGCATTTGTCCATCGGAGATCTTCACATTCACTTAAAGTTAGAGCTCATCCTACATATTCGCTGGCTAGCTCTGTACCCAGCCACCATTATATGCCAAATTCAATAACCAAATAAACATCGCTGCTGTTTAGTTTTCTGTCTTCATTTAATTCGGCAGAGATAGGAGAAATGCACGTTGTAGTGTTTTAGGAATCCCTCAGTATCAGCTTTAGGTGGAAACTAGCAAGCTAACTTTATGCTAACTTCAAACTCCATTAAACTTTATAAATCCTGTCTTTCTTATGGATAGTGATAACAATAAAAGTATTTGGGCTGTTTTTAACTCTCAGTGTTGCCACAGTGTCTGTTTGAGTTTGGGAACTGAAGAAGAGTTTGCACCAGAAACGGCTAACGACGTCACGCGTATTGCTCCACATGAAAATAAATAACCCTGCTTCCTATCAATTTTCACATGCTAAACTAACAGTTTTTAGAGTCTTCTTTCTTAGCTGCTTTTGCACTGCTACAGTGAGCCGTGACTGCTGCTTCTACACTCCACACACACATGCAGGGCACACTAAGATGTTCGGATGTTGCCCTGCAGGTGATGGACTCACCGTGGCCTGCCATGTTAACAGGCTAGATGTGTTCAAGGATTGAGGACCACCCAACTGCAGCTTCTCTCCACAAAATTCAACCAGATGTTTAATGAAGGCCAGTGTATGTGTGAGGATGGTGTGTGTGTGTGTACTGTATGAGTGTGTGTGTGTGTAATCATTTTCACCTGTGTGCTGATACAAGCCCTTGTGTGGAGGCTAATGGATGCAGGCTAGCTACACCGTTTCTGCATGTCTCTCTCCCCTTTGTCTTGCTTCCTTCCCGTCACATTTCTGCAGCTTTTACATCGCCTCACCCTTCACTTTTCCTTTTCTTGTGTCCAATCCTTTCATTTTACTATTTGCACCATTTTGATACCCTCCCCACCACCACCACCGCTGTGGCTTACATGAGGAATTAATTTTCATATTCCACTTCCCTTTTTTCCAAAATCCTGCTCAACTGACAGCCCTCCTGCTTCCCTCACCTCCCCTCCGCCCTCTCCTCCCCTTCATCCCTCTAGCCCTACCTTACAGCTGTTGTTTTGGATTAGTCAAATGGCTCCTGTCAGATCCAGTGATCCTTTTCCTTTGCCACCCACAGAGCTGCACTGCACTGTCTGCTTGCTGCCTTTTCTGTCTCCTCCTCGCTGTGTCTTTCCCGTGCACGTGCACACAAACCACACTGATGTCTCTGACAGGTGCGTGTCAAGGTGTCTTTGTGGGCAGAGCCGTGAGTTCGCTGCAGTTTCTTTCCTTTCAGGTCCAGCAAAGCGTGACTGTGCTGGCATACCACTCACACCTCTTAACAAAAAAACAAAACAAAAAAAGGTTTGTTGTTCTAAACCGGACAAGAAGCCTAACCAGGGTAAATTCCCGACGGCTTCCCTCTCTGGAATTCACCTTACTTTTCAACTACTCCTCGATTCCTCTTTGAGTTCTTTCTTACAACCAACATTATTTTCTTTTTCCTTTTTTTTGGTCTAATTTTGACAGCTGTAGGTCTGGTCATCCACGCTGGCTGAGACAAACTGACACTAAAAGGCGTTTTGACATGATGATGGCGAGAGTAATAGTGTTATTTCAGTCATTTGGAGAGAAAGGGGAGCCAGTGTGTGCGCAGAGTCCGGCTGCAATAGTGCAAGCAAAGATATGCATCGAAGCAGAAATGGGAGAGGTGCTATATAATAATTTGACAGATTCACGTCAAATCAGTTATGTTGTTTCAGCGAGTGAAGAGACAGTGCCCCTTAGTTTTCAGTTTCAGTGACACGACACCTGGGTGGCGTGCAATGATTGCAAATGTATTGGCGTCAATGAAAGAGTGGTAGAAATGTGTGTTTTAGATTGTATGACAGCTAAATGTTTTGAAGGTATCCTTTTTTTATTTGAAATTCTGTGCAAAACATTGGGTTTTGATGAAGCTTGCAGCCAAAAAGAACATTTTTAGGATGCTGGAGAACTGTGTGCTGGTTTGAGACTGTGTCAGTAGCCACCTGAAGAGATGGAGGTGCTGATGTAGGAGTGGGATATCTAGGTGGGTCCTGTGAAGTATATGTATGACTTTTTATGTCATTGTTTTACATTAAATTCACCATTTGCACCTTTACCTTTAGCGCTTTGAATTCAACTTTAATAATTAACATAGACGTCTTTGACAAACGCTCGCTAGCTTTGTGGCTTTCGTTGCTGTATTGCACCTCTTACACAAACAAGCAAATCAAAAAATCAAAAGCCAATCGTGGTTCATTGTTTATGGCCTCCGTATGCTGATCTGGCTGTTACAAGATTAATTGCTCTTGGGGGAATGAATGCTGTGTTGATTTTTTTCCCCCTCGAAATACATTAAAACCTTCTTCAAAAGTCTAGTATTCTTTGAATTAGGCCACTGTTTCCTTTGTTTCAGGCTGCACGCATCAAACATGGTAGCTGTTAACTCTTTATGATTATATAAATACTGTATCAATCACACACACACGCTTACGCACACAAAGATTGATGTGGTGGCTTTAATCAGCTGAATGTTTCTGTGCCAGGGAGGGCATTACAGTCCAGTTAGCCGACTCTATTATAATGCCATCAGATCCTTGCTTGTGCGATAGAGGTGCATTTGTATGTGTCAGAGAGACTGCTGACCTATATGTTACAAAGACTGACACAAGTTTTGTTCCCCTGCAAACATAAGCTGTCTCGACATAAGAACGAAATATTGTGAAATTTGTTAACTCAAAAACTGAACTATTTCTTTGATCTTTGTTGTGTACGTACACATAGATTAGCTAACAGTTAAACCTGGCCTCCTCCTGTTTTTTTGGTCCTACCTCTTCTTTCTTTATCTCCTCTTGGCCTCATCTTTCCATCCCTGTGTTTTCTCTCCATCAGTTGCCCCATGTTGCCCTCCAGCTGAGGGCAAGACTGACCTCCTCTTCCTCACAGGCTTCCTCTGCAAGACAATGGCAGGACAAAGGAGGCGTGTGTACAGAAAGTTAGCAAATGAATGCATGAAGGTGTAATATTATTGATCAATAGTGTGTAACTTTTTTTTTTTTTACTAGTGGTGGGGAGGTATTTTAAATATCTGTGCATGCGTGTAAAGTAGGTTTTTTAGGGTGATTAAGAGGTGTGATTTTACTTATAAATTACTTGAATGTTATTGAGTGTGTGTGTGTGTGTGTGTGTGTGTGTGTGTGTGTGTGTGTGTGAACATGCAGATTTATGATGCAGGAAACAGCAACTGTGTCACTGTAAAACAATAGAAGATTCACGGCGCTACTGCAAACACACACACGTGCACTCTTTTGGCACTTGTCCTCAGACCCCTGTGCGTCTACGGCAAGGAACTCCCTTCCTGCTGCATTGCTGGAAGAAACGCACACACTGAGTGACACATCCCCCTGGACTCACAAGTCATCCGGATAGCTTCGTACATCCTTTTTTCCAAAGTGGGTACAAATAAAGAAAGAAAGAAATAAAGCACAGGGGAGACGACAGAGACAGGATACAGGATATAAAAGTGAGATGTATGTCAGCATGCCATGTGTTAGATTTATGAAGCTGCGAGGGGGGCAAAAAAGAGAAAAGTGTGTCAGGTGTGTGTGCACCGCTCATACATCAGCTCGCTCGCCTCGTGTGTCATGTGCAGCCATATTGCAATCACTGCATTATTGTTGCAAAGAAAATGATAGATTCCCAGGGTGGCTTGTGCTAGCCTATAGCCTGCCCGCTGTGTGTAATCGTCATGAGACAATGGCGTTGAGTGCCAGTGTTCACTTATAATAAGCTTTCTTTCATGTAACCCTTCCCCCCTCTGTTTCGATGGAGGCACTGAAGGCCCTCTTCAGACGGTCAAAGATGTTGCAGCCACTGTTCCCCTTCCCCCTGTGAATAGAGACAGTCAGCCAGAGATAAAGGTGATCGAGAATACAAGAGATTATGGTTGTTTCATTGAGCTTTTCCTCCAGTTCTCTTTCACAATGCAATAACAGTCAATCACCTGCATAAAGAAGCCTAAATATAGGGTTTAAGACTTGTTACACCACTACCCGCAGCCTTGGCTTATAATTGAAACTTTTCCATTCTTTTTTTTCCCCAAATGCTTTGGCTGCCGAGGGGAGATTGGCAGCTCTGAGTGGCCAGCAGATGAAGCGGCTGGCGCGGTAATGAATAGAACGCTGATTGCAGGATCCCCAAGATGCAAATTACCATGCCTGCCACCCCTGACGACCGGCAATTACCGGGCCGCCGCGGCGGACGCCTCGTGCATATTCATTGCACCCGCTGGGCATATTGATCAACAACTTACTTCAAGCAAGAAGCACTGAAATGTATCATGTCGCTCTGTCACTGCTAAAGAAACACTCTTTCCTTTCCTGTTGTCAAAATTGACACAGTAATATCTGGTAGGACAAGCCCTTTAACTAGGCAAGGAGTATTTATTTTAATCAGGCTCAGGTACAGGCTAATTGTTAACGTGTCACATTGAAAAGGAAGTGACAAAACATGCCATTCATTAAAAAATAGTCTTAATTCAAATATTAATTCCTGCTTGTACTTAACCTAATTAACTGCACTTAAAGTTCACTGCCCCTAACAATGCTGTGCCAGGTTAGAATAAAAAAAAAAAAAACTTTCACGAACACTTGTATATCAGGCGTTTCTTAGTTCATTTATAGCAAACCGATGTGCGTAATACATTTATTTCTTAAACACTCTACATCAAAAAAACGGTTTTAACTGAATAATTAGTCTTATTATCCTCTACAAAGTGTGTTTAAAGTATTTTCCCCCTTTTTTCATGCTGCTCAATATTTAACCCTCAACTTTGGACTGCAGGAGACCTTTTTTCTTTTAGTTATGAAATCATTCCCGAGGAAATGCACACACACAAGCACACACACACAGAGTGAGTGCAGACTTCAGAACATGGCATATGAATATGAAAGGGTTTCTTTCAACAACAACGGAAAAACAAGAGTGCTGCCAGCAGTTAATGGGACCAAATGAAGGAAAGCTGAGCAACATCGGATTTTGAGCTCTCTGCCTCAAAACAAACATTCAATGATCGCATTAGCGATGGATGACAGAGATATATCATTATTGTCTTGTGTGTCTTCTCTGGTTTACGGCCTCAGCCTCACTCGTTTTCACCAACATAAATACATTTTTGGAGAGTTTCAGTAAAATTAATTTACACCGGTTTCTCATGGCCAGTGTAAGATGACTGACCTGCAAGTGACATGTGTGCTTTATGACAACAATTTGGATTTGAGCTCCTTATACCATCCGCTATGCACAGTATGGAACTTGTGGGACCCAGTGCTGAAAACATCAGCTTACTGGAAACATCATGCTTACAGTTTAACAGTGTCTAACATGCGTCTGTGCACATTTGTTTATACCTGGCTTCATTTAAAAATGTAAAAAGTAAGCATCTTGAAATCCCATGAAATCCTGTTGTCACATCTTTAACATTTCTATGAATATTTGTTGATGTATGTCTAAATTATTAAGTTACAGGGTTAAAAAAAAAAACCCCAAACCTCCATCTGACTATTTTTAATGAATTTAACGGCCAAAGAGCCAGTTAAACTCCTACAGTAGTGCACAGGTGTGGATTGGTCAGACTGAGAGTGCTGGCAGTGTTTCCAAAAACTGTCATCACAATTTAATACAAATATCATTTAATTATGTGGGGTGTGCAGCAACATGTAACAGCTCCTGTTCTGTAACTTCCTTTAAATGAATCATCATGTGAAAGAAGAAGAACTGCTGCAGCAACACTTACAGAAAAAAGCTGTTGTGGGAATCATGTAAGACAGGATGTAGATGTAAAGCATCAAATCATACTGTTATTATAGAAACACTTCATATCAAGAAGAAGCGATGGTCCGATGGTTGTCTTTCAAATATGTGAACAGAGTACTATATACAAATTTAGATAAAAGTTGAGGTCATGCCCAGTATGAGATAAACACATTTAATTGTATGCAAAATATGTAAAAACCACGCAATGGATTAAAACAATCCCACACATTCAAACTGAGAAAATAGTTTTCAGAGCATTTAAAACTTAGCGGTAAACAAAAAAAAACTCCCCTGTAATGCAAAACCTGCATCAGTTGGTTGTACTTCACTGGGAAAAATGCCCAAACATATTCCATATTCATCAGATTTACATAACTGACAGACGCACGGTTAAATAGGTAGTTTTGTGGTGGGACAGTTGCCTGCTATGCCCATTTAGCTGGTACTGCTGCCTTGGCAGGTGAGCTTGAAATCAGAGCCTGTGCGGTTCAAACCCTCACTCTGAGTGTTTGTGGGAAATATTACAGCTGCCAGAGCGCCACAGAGCACAGCACCAAACTCAATACAGTGGTTCAGCTGTCGGCAAGATAGGTTTGTATCGCTAAGCGGCTCCCGAAGGTGCCGCCCTGCCTCCTTCTGTTGCTACTTCCCCAGGTCATGTACAGGATAAAACAGTTCTTAGCCAAGTTTCCCCGTGGTTTAAACACACACACACACACACACACACACACACACACACACACACACACACACACACACACACACAGACCTCTTTCCTTTCAACTTTTCATACAGTCACCAGCAATGCATATAGATCTGTATCTTAAATATTGCCAAACCCCTTTTGATAAGAATCTACACACACACACAGAGGTCTGACGTGTTTCCGTCAGACAAAAGCAACCTGCACTTAGGCGGCGGTGGGGGAAAGGAAAGCCCAAATGAGGAGGGGGGGACCTGATAGTAACAGAAGAAGAAAAGAAAGAGCAAGTGCAGGTGCTGACCTCCAGAGTTGCTCACATATGTTGTTATCTGTGTGTAATTTCTCCACTGCAGATTGCTATCTCCTTATCAGAGAACGGCTGGTGAACTGAGGTCCGCCTATCAAACGCTGACTTGGGGCCCAAATTACATCAGGGTCTGGAGTTCCTTAAACCACGGGAATAATGAATTCACTTCCACTGGTTACCTTAGATTTAAACATTTGATGAGGAACTGGAAGAAACAGAGCTTGAGAAAAGCCTGCAGGCTTGTTTGTATTACAGTAAGGTGTTATGAGTAATGTAGTCACAGTGTGTTATGGTAATCAACACACTGCTTTATGCATAATTCAGGCAAAGAGAGATGGCTCTCAGGAGTTTGTTACATTTAAGAAACCTCCCTTTATGCTCTCCTTCTCCCATCATACCTCATTTGAAGGAGGACAGATATGTCCAAATGAAAGGCTTTATGATATGAACAAAAAAGGAAAGCCTCTGTGTCGCTAACACAGTAGCTGCTGAATAATAAAGTTGGAAAAAGTGTTATTAGACAAATTATGATATTGTCTGTCATTAAACTTTTAACATCTTTTAACATCTACCACGTCTCCGGAGGTATGTTATGGTGTAGGACTGAATAATTATTTGGCCAAAGTTCAAGCAATGGGCTTTGTTTAATAAGCAAAAGCTTGTGCTTCTAAAGCTTGTGGCTAAAACACTTCCTAATATGAAGCCTAAATGGGTCATCGTGGTCTGGCGGATGTTAAAAAGTTAATCTGAGACATGACTAAACACAGAAGAAGAGCATAAAATGTTTGCTAGTCTTATTGGGCATGAAATCCATTATTTTAAAAGGTCTCATATTTTTTTAAAGAGGCATCTGTGTACAAAAAATGCACATAGTATAATATTTGTATATAAAGTTAAGGATAGACAGACTCACAGATGATGCGCAGAGATACATTAGACATTTCCCCAGTTATGAAAAGCATGTGCAAGAGTGATTCCAGGCACAGGAAAATGTTCGGAAAAAAATAATGCCGAAACGTTTTGCCAAGCAGTGAACTGAAGCATTGAAGCACGTCTTCACACAGACTACCTGCTTAAAAAAGGTTTTCCTTAATTTTTACAGAATTGCCCCCCTAAAGAAAGGAAACCTTTATATGTAGCTTGATTTCTCAAAGAAGAAAACTCATTACATGGTTTTCACAAGAGAGAGGAGCACTTCACTTAGATCAATCAGTCAGTGAACTTTAAACTTGGACTTGAATTACTACTAGTTTTCAATCATCCAACGTTTTTGGTTTGATCAGCTTGAGAAACGAAACCCTGCATTTTTCTGAGCACACACACACACACACACACACACACACACACACACACACACACACACACACACACACACACACACACAAAAGCTGAGATATTTTTCAGTCTTACATTTTTTTTCTGGTCTGAATTATTATGGCAGGAAGGCTCCAAAGCTTGTGGAGCTAAATTTGTCTGTGTGTCTGTATTTGTTTGCCTGTCAGCCAAGCAACATGAAAGCTTGTGAGGGGAGCAGCAGAGCTGTAACAGGAAGCAATCACTTCAGGAGCAGAATTATTATTGGGAGGTGACTTCTCACGAGAGAAGAAGCGAGGATGATGCACAGTCATCTGAAGTTTCATGATGGTGACCTGCTCCACAAGCCAAAGAAAGCACTTCCGTGGTTGTGTATAAGTGATGGTTGTCACATTTGTGTATTTCTTATGACTTTAGTCTGCATGTGGTCATCAACTTACAACACAATATGTTCCCTGAAATTAAACGGTTATCTTCAAAAAAAGTATAAATCATAAGTGGTGTTTTTTCACACTGATTTCGGCGTAAATTTAACATTTCATTGTAATATTTCAGAATCATGATGAACCATCGAAAGACTTTTACAAGTGTAATTTGTTGCATATTGCTGTAAAGTGATGATCTTACCTGGACATCCTCAGTACCACAGTATCACAGCTCTACTTTCTTTTACTGGTGTGCAATTTGGCTGATATGGCCATATGATCATTTGTGACAGGGGTCATGTGGGTCAAGTGGGGTCATGAGTAGTATCCTGACATCCTGGCAGTCTAATCACCTGTTTATTTATTTAACAGCCAAACTCTGATCGACACCAACTAAAGCAGAGAGCGAGAAAGTGAAAGTAGCAGGAGGGGTTGATTAAGGTTCAGAGCTCCGTGGCTGGTGTTGGTGTGCATATCTCATATCCAACTGTTTGTCCAGCTTCTTATTCATTTTATAGATTGCAAAAATACAGATCCAAAAGTTCATAAAGATGTGAAAAAGAAATTTGGGAGGAAATAAAAAAAAATTAAGCATCGTGCGCATAAAATGATGCCCGATTCATCTACCTGTAAATTATTTTCATCTGAATTAACGTTTCACCCAAATAACAGAAAAAAACTATATTAATTAAACTGCAAAACTATATGTGAGAGGGTTAAAATAATACTTTTTTGTTTTTAATATCAGTCATGAGCTCAGTTATTGTGAATTTTGCCCTTACTACATTCAAAAAGGAATACAGCCTTTCATCTGGACTGTAAGGGAAGTGCAGTAGCAAAGCTTGCTGCTGCCCTCTTTTGGAAAGTTCTGGTGCTACTTTTAGATTAAACTTCGCTTGTATTTACAAGCCTTTGCCACACAGTGGAGACGCATGATGGACTATTATTTCAGTATTTAAACACCTCTTTCAACCACTCACATAAGTATGTCCACTTTGGTTTTTGGTTATCTTACTGCAAAGTCTTCCTACATAAATTTATGCACTTTATTATTTTAATGATCAGTTCTTAAAACTAAAGTTTACCCATTTGTTTCCTGTTTATAATAATAATAATAATTATTGCATTGGTTATAGATCTTGTGTAATGACTACAGCTGAACAGGTCGTCCACTGATGTCGGAGGTTCGATGCCCAGCTCTGAACCTGGCCTGAATACATCCACCAGCAAACAGTGCGTATGGCGGATGAGGCTCTGGATGAATGTGTGCACAAATAGGCAAATGGGGCCTAAAAAAGCAGGGCGTGTACAGTTACATTCATCACAGGACTGATGTCATCTTTCTGATGATATGGTATTTAGCCAATCACAAGAGTGCTTGGTGTTTATAAAATCTATTTTTTTTCCTCCTTTCTTTAAGGAGGAATCTTGAGTGTTGATTTACTAGTTTGCACAAGACACAAAATGTAAAAGTTATAAACAAATGTGTTTTCATTTTATCGCATGCAGGACTGAAGAATTCTGAAAGTCTAAGAATGAGATGCAAATAAAGATATTTGCTATGCTGTGAGACGCACGCGTTATTTTCATCAGACTTCAATTTGAATATGATAATACAGGCTGGAATCACATGCTTTACCCGTATTTTAATATCAGCCGCACCACTATTTCTCTAGGACTTTGCATAGACAAAATTCACAAGACCAGAGTAAATGGAGTCGCTGGTCTTTCTTCCTCTGTGTATAGTAAAGAACGCATACACAATTAGTTTAGAGGTTAAAATTTTAAGTACACTGAAACATTTTTCTGTCTTGTTCCTCAGTGCACCAATTACAGAAAGCACTGATCGTTTGGCTAATTTTCTCATCCTCTACCACATTTGTGTAGAAGTGCTTCCACCAGCAGCTTTTCCTTCTCTGAGTGACTTTTTGAATATTTCATCTCCAGCGTGGAGAAGGAGGGTTGAGTTACAGCAGGATGAGTGACTGCAGGGCAGGAGGGTTGCAGAGATCCACAGGTGGAGCCTCGCACACATACGTGCTAGCGGTAAAAGGCTGGTGGGGCTAATTAGATATTTAATAGCACAGACACATGAGAGCACACGCATTATTGTGATGAGAGGTGGAAACTGAACAGCCCAGTAGCTACGTTTTGAGGATATGCTGGTTAAGGAGTATTAGTTACTCAAAAAGTTACTCTAATCAATGTCTTTATATCACTAATAAAAAATTATTGTAATGCCTTGCGAGCATCTTTGTGCTCACTGCTTTATGGTTTTACACCGCAGCTCTTTTACTCACTACTTTCATCAGCCAACCACAACAAGCCATTGCTACCCAGCAGACAGGTTATCAGCCCACGGAATGACTGTTATCATCTGTTAGCGTCATTCAGTAGGTGATCATGCAGGGCAGCTCTTGTAGCCGTGAGAATATGTAGGCTTACTTGTAAAATCTCATGCTTGGAGGCTTTTGGGGCTTTCTATGTGGTGGAAGTCTGTTTTTACCCAAACCCTGGCTTTCCCTAGTTACAACCAAGTAGTTTTGGTGTTTACGCCTGACCAAACAGCAAAAAACCCAAAACCTAAAACAAAAGACATATGAAACTCAAGTCTCTTCAGTGAACATCACTGATTCTCTTAATGCAAAATTTTATTGTGCTTATAAAGCGGAAACAATGGGCCTGAACGTCGTTTCAGTAACACAGGACTAACACACCTAAATGAGGTGACATGAACTTAGTTTGTGGAACAGGCCAGATAGTGTTGATATGTCTGGGAATGACAATAACTGACTGCAATCAGTGAGGTGATACAAACAAATGCAAAGTCATCGGCAAAAGAATGACCACAGTGGATCATTTAGCTGCCAGTGAGACTCGTATTACTCCCACATAGACCAAAGTAGAAGTCCACCACTTAGCCACAAAATGAAAATCATTTCTGCTGAATATTGTGCGTGTCCCTCTCAAACTATACAGATCAGAGCTACAGAAAGGTCTCGGTCAACTTCTTCCCTATGCTAAACCAACAAGCAATGAAATCCACAAGACTGCTGAAGGTGTCTAGTGGTATCAGACAAGTGGAATTAGCTGTAGATCCTGTGACTTTAAAGGTGAGGCCTCCATGATTTTATACTACTTTTTTCCAAACACATCTCGCAAATGCTTGTTCAGATTGAGGTCTTGGGAATTTTGAGGCAATTTCAACTCTTTACTATGTTCTGCAAACCATTTATGAACATTCAAGGACTTCTGTTGTTTCAGTTATGAGCACAAGTCACTGTAACGGCCACATGAATGCCAGGTTTCCTAGCAGCACCTGACAACCTGGCTTCTTCCTGTACTGCATCACATTGTCACCTCTTCTCTCAATAAATGACACACATGTGTTTGTTGTCAGTCGCCTGAATTAAAACAAAATGTAATTCCTCAGACCAACTCATACTATTTCATTGCTGGGTGGTAAGTTGAGCACACATGCCAATTATAGGCGCTTAGGAAAGAGGTTAGCATAAGAACTTTTGGTATGTTGCAATGCGTTCTGCTTTCTTTCTATTATATCCTTTTAGTAATACCTGCCATTCTGGAGACGATCTGACCAAGAGTCTTGCAGTTTCAGCCATCAACAACTATGCTGCCCGTTTTTCCTGCTTCAACACAGCAATTTTAAGAACTGCCTGTATGTTGCTAGTAATGTTTACAGGTGTCATTTTCCTGAGATAAACAGTGCTACTCAGTCTGCCTGATAGTGGTTTTAAATGTGTGCCTGATGCTGTGAAACCCGATGACTCCACGAGTGTCTGCAGCAATCTATAGAACATATTATCGGGTTTATGAGGAGATCTAAAGCTCCTATCCCTACCATCACCTCCCAAAAATGTAGCACCTGGTTTTTTCATTATGTCTTGCGTTTAGTTTACCTGTTTACTTTTCATCGGAGTTTAAACGCAAATAACAATGGCAAAGACATAAAGTGAGCAGGCACGAGTGGGAAGAGCACCCTACCTTTCTCAAGACCTTCAGGTGCATTAAACACACCTCTACTTGAGAGTTAGATCCTCCCACTCCCGCTCACCTGCATATAAGCACACCTGTAGCATCAGCAGCAAACAGAGCCTACTACATTCTTCTGGATCGTAGACTAACTCTACCTGAACAAAGTCCTGGTAAGGAGAATATATATCTTGTTGGTTTTATTCTTTTATTCTTTATTTTTAGGAATCAGACTTCCTTAAATGAAACAGGTAAATATTAATTAGTGGTTTTGCTTGCTTGTTTAATACATTTAATTAGTAATAAGGCTGTTATCATGGAATAATTATAATAATGCACTGACATGAATCCAAATAAAACTTCTAAACTTCTTGCTCAGTTTCATTCAAATGGTCAGCACACATATTAGTCAGTTGATAGTTGATGATCCCACATTATAAAATGCCCATTTCCTGCTGTACAGCGTGTCCCGTTGTGTTGCTGGAATTCACTCTGAATATTTTCTAGATCATTTTCCCAAGCTCTATCTCTCATCTGAACAAGGACTGTCTGTCTCCTGCTGGGTCCTTTGTAGTGTTGTGGGAACGGTGTTGTGAGGATCAAGTGACAGAGAGACAGAGAGGTTCCCTTGACCGCTAATCTGCTACTGAAACTTTGCGAGCGTATACACACACACACACACACACACACACACACACACACACACACACACACACACACACAAAGCCACCCTGTCCTTCACTACGTTTGACATCCAAAAAACAGTTAACCTTTTGTAAAGTCAAGGAAATACCATGAACACCTGTTGCGTTGGTACTAATATTACTGACAGTAACATCATTGATCATTAAAAACCGATTACAAAGACGTGCCATTTGAAGGCGCATAGACACCTGTATCCTTCTCTGTTTGCTTCTGTTCTTTTAGAAATCCTCTATCAGTCTCTTCTTGAATATAAAACACATCTTATTATCATACGTAAAAGAATATGTGAGAGTCCCACAGTCTCAGTGAGAGGCTCTTCTTCAGCCCATAGCCGAGCTGTGGTCATTTGCATTTAGATTTTATGCTGACTTGAGTTGAATTATGTCTGCACAGAGCTGAGACTGACAGACTGAAGAGTCTCCGGCCACGAAGTCAGTCATCTCTTGATGCAGATGCTTAGGATGAACAGCCACGAGGCAGCCGTGCATACGCTCATTGAAAGACTCCTTTCATCATTTTCAGTGGGCGATCAGTGGTCTTGAATATAAGACCCTACTTGTATTTCCATCAAAGTCTGCTGAAATGCTAGAATAAAGCACATTTGCTCAAGGATCACAAAAGAGCTTTTCTACAACCGGATCTCATGCAACACTACATTTAAATGACTGCCAAAGGTCAAACAGACTGGCTTTTGAAGTTATGATGTGTGTAATTTAAACATTCATCTGCTCTCTTCGAAGATATGAACCTGTAAGAGACTAAACCTCTGTGATTGTGCTCTGGTTCTGTTTCTCAAGTTTATGCATTTCCTCCGTCTTGTCTTCGTAGTTAAAAATAAACGTATAAGTACCCCAAGGGCAAGTCATGCTACATAGCCAAACTTAGCTAATATGTAATAACAGAAATTAACCATTTAATGTAAGATGAGAGCAGGTTTCAGCATTAAAGACAACTAAAAGTAATGACTAGCAATGGAAATACACAACCAAAATAAATGTACATATGCTTTAAATACAAACAACTGGCTGAGATTAGTAGCTAACATTATAGCTAACTGTCAGCTAATAGCACAGAACTACTAAAATCAAGTTTAAGCTGCTCACTTGTTAACTTATAGGATGGATAAATAAATAAATAAAACACATTTAAAAGTTGTCATTAAAGTTATTCTAGTCAGTCTTGAGGAAAAAAATATCTATTTACCAACTGGTTGGCGAGTGTTTGCTGGAAGTCGCTGGCTGTCGGTATGAAATCAGCTGCAAAGAGGAGGCTACCTTTTTAATGTTTAATGCAGATTGCCACAGTTGCCTGTAGTTTGCTTGGAAGGTGCCAGTTGTCTGCAAATACTCATAAAATACTTGCCGAGCAGTAGTAGAAGTTTTAAAAGTTTGAGGCAAACCTTAAACGAAGAATGTTCATCTTTAAAGTAAAATTTGTACTTCGTTGCCCCAACCAACACATTTCAAAAGGTGCAGCTTTTACTCTGAAGGCGCCCAGAGAGTAGTTAGTGAATCTTTGCACTCAAGAGCACATGCTCCACGGAAACTACCAACCAACAAAATCAAGCTTTTTGCCAAATGGTCGGGTATCTGGCAAGATCTGTCGCTGGCTGACGGGGCAAGGCCTAGCATCAACCTCCAGCGACCATTTGCCATCAGGTTGGGGAATACACATTTTGCCCTTGCGACCAATGGTGTCCAGGGCTGTGTAATTGGCGTCTTGTTCAACTGACCTGACATTTGTCACATTTACAAAAAATGCTAGACAAGTTAACGCCATGCGGTTAGTGGTCACATGCCTGCAAAACCTTGATATTGTAATGTAAAAGCTGTCCAGATCAAGTTTAAATTGAGTTGATAAAGGTGCCGTGAGGCATATCAGAAAGGTTGGGAACCACTGGCTTGAAACACAACATTGTTTAACCCCCGAACCTTTTTGCTTTGTTCTTTACGCCTTCACAGCCGCCAATCATGGCCTCCAGTATTTCAATGAAAAGCTACTCTATTGGCCGTCAGCCCTCCTTTTCCAGCCGTTCGCTGATGGACACCGGCCGTGCTCGCTCTCGGGCTTCTGTGTCTTTCGCTGTAGCGAGCCCGCTCACCCGTTCAGCTTCCATCAGCCAGGATCTCAACGGGCCAGCAAGCCTTCAAATTAATGGACTCCATGGCAACAGCACCAATGAGAAGGAAGCTATGCAGAGTCTCAACAACCGTCTGGCCAACTACCTGGACAAGGTCTGACAATAACACAGCACTCCACTGTTACGTTATCAGCCCAGGAAATAACACAAGCAGTAAGCTGAAAGACTTTGATCATTAACCTGTGTCCTCCCTTCTCTGTGGCTCTTTGTATCCTCCAGGTGCGTTCACTGGAGCGCTCCAACGCTGATCTGGAAATGAAAATTAAGCAGCTGATGCTCGAACGCATTCCCAAAGGTCATGACCTCGATTCCATGATGGCCCAAGCTCATGCTGTTGAGCAAGAGGTAGGCATCGAGTGGCAGGCAGGCAGGGGAAAATGTCAGGTCAGCATAAGATCTGAGTTTAGAAGGGGCAAACAAGGCTCAAGGTTATAATGACTGATCACTTTACATAGACAAAACATTCATGCAAATATCAGATCTATTTTAGCAGGAAGTGCACTAGGAGAGTCATCACAGGCAGAATCAGCTCATACTTCTAGTTAACAAGTAGTAAAAGAAGCCAGGCCAGAGTTAATGATTGTTTTGTGCTTTTTAAAACAGAATTAGTCACAGTTCAATGAAGCTCGAACTTCTCACCAGCCACAAATCCAACTCTTAATGTATTATTTAGAAACCTTGTTGCTATTAGTGTAACACACAAAGGTAACATGAACATACACTAACGTTAAATTATATTATATAAGCTTTAATCCAGGATTTAATGCTATTATTGACCTATGTTAATATTTATCAGGTGAGGAAGAAGACCTTGGAAAATGCTCGTCTCATGCTAGAGATCGATAATGCTAAACTGGCTGCCGATGACTTCAGAATCAAGTGAGTGATTAATGATTGCACCATGGTGATGTAAAGCTGTTTTTGCAGAATGATACAAAGAGATGTTTCTGTTAATAATGTCATTGACGCCTCTGTCATGTTTTGGTCAAACATTTGCTCAATCAACAAAAAAATGTTTGCACATTAACACAGCGTTCTTTGGAAAAAGTTATTTAAGTACTGATTATTAAATTAAAAGATTACTGTAGGAACACTAAAAAGCATAAAAAGGATAGTATGTCAGCTAACATACAGTTTTCATTACATACAGCCAAATATTTATTAGTATATATCAGTAAATGTATATTTAATACAAAGTTTTTCTTATTATTAGAAAATGTTTGTGTTCTTTGAGTTTTTATTGCTGTATTAATTAATTTCAGGCTACTTTTGTAAGACTTCCTGACTGCATAGGCATTTCTTACTACTTTGACTAATAAATATTATGCAAAGGGAAGTCAGAAGCAGAAGTACAGCAAC